TATGAGTATTCAAAATTTAGTGAAACCGAAAGCCTGATGATTACTTGGAGAGGTAGAGTTTATTTCTTTACAAAATGCAAAGCTTTCTTAAAAACGCAGAAAGAAATCGGCGGGTCCTTTTTGCCCACAAATCTCTGTTTTCTACCTGTGTAAGTAAAGGGGTGCGTTAATCTTACTAGTATTTTGCCCACAGTAGCATTCAGGTACCTAAACCCGCAAATTACATCCGCCCACAAATAGGTACCTACCTGATTATTAATAATTCTAATAGGTACTTACTTTGGGTGTTTACTGTTTATATTTCAGTCAGTTTTTATACGTTGATGATTGTAATTCGAGTGTTTATAAACAATAATTATTTCTATAATGTTAGCTACATTGATTAAAAGCACACGCGGGAAAGATGTACTCCTTTTGGAGAATTTTACGTTTGCCAAAGATAGAGAAATGAAAAGTGGAGAAGTTTCTTGGAGATGCTCCCAAAGAAAAACAAATGCTTGTAATGCCACTGTATTTACAATTGGTCCTGAACTTTTAGTATCCAGAGGCAACCTAATTCATAGCCATGAAGCAAATGAACCGAAATTAAACAGGAAAATTATTTCTAATTCGTGTAAGCGAAAAGCAGTTGATGATATTTCGGAAAAACCTTCTAAAATTATCCGTAAAGTACTTGCTACTAATTTACCAGAGTCACTAACTACAATTGATGTGTCCTACATAAGAAAAAATATATACAACAGTCGTCGCAAAATACTACCAGGTCCATTACCTACAAATATACAAGAAGTGCATGATGCAGTTGACTTATATTCTAATACATTTAAAACCAGTAAAGGTGGACATTTTCTTTTAATAAATAGCAGAGAAAATAATATTATTGTATTTACATGTGAGACAAATATTCGTACTTTGTGTAAAATGAACGTCTTGTATATGGATGGAACATTTTCGTATTGTACAAAGTTTTTCCAACAATTATTTACCATTCATGGGCTGTGTAATGGACACTATGTGCAAATCTACCGATATATACAAACATTTGTTTTCATTATTGCATTATAAAATTTTGGAAACTTACAGAATTGCTTTAAATCCATCTAAAGTGTTCGTTGATTTTGAAATAGCAATTCATAAGGCGTTAATTTATATGTGGCCTAATACTGTAATCAATGGCTGCCGATTTCATCTACATCAAGCGTGGTATCGTAAAATTCAGTCTCTGGGATTAATGGCTGAATATACAACTAACAGTGATACCGGAAAATGGCTTAAAACATCATTTGGGTTGACATATTTAAACGCAAAACATCATTTGGGTTGACATATTTAAACGCCGATGAAGTTGGAGACTGTTTTGTGTTTGACTTAATGGCAAGTAATCCAGAAAATGCCGTTCTCGATAGGTATACCGATTACCTATTAGAAACATATATTGAAGAAAATTTTATATTTCCTCCAAGTATATGGGCAGAAAAAACAGCTTCAATTACAAGAACTACAAATGCCTGTGAGTCGTTTCATTCAAGGTTTAATTCTTCATTCTACTGTACACATCCTTCTGTATATATTTTTATAGAAAAGCCCAAAGACTTTCAAATCGACACGTATGTCACAATACAAAGCTTAAGTATACCTAAGAAAATCAAAGACAAAAGTGTTAAACAAAAAATTCAGTGTTTAGAAAAATTTATACAGCGATTTGATCTGCAGCAAATCAGCAGATTAGAGTATATAAAATTTGTATCACATTTATCCCTCCCAGTTGAAAAATATGTAAATAAAATGTAAATATATAAAAAATATAATATAACTTATGTATACTTACTTTTTTATAATAATAAAAATTAGTGTTTAATATAATTTTTAGTTTAATTAATAATGTGTTTTTACTTTTCGATAATATATAAAAAATAATAAATGAAAGATATATCTATGATTTATTCAGTTAGAAATAAATTTGGGCAAAATACCAACAGGATTAAGATGACCTTTTACTTGCTGTGGGCAAATTACCTATAGGATTAGCAGCTTTAAATATTTTGTGGGCAAATTACCTCCGCCCAAAGAAACTATTATTGGAAACGTACCACATAACTACCATGATTCAAACTCACAGAAAATACAGGCAATTAAGCTAAAGGCCAAGATGAAAGAAGATATGAAGTCAGTGAGGGCTACTGCACGAAATGTAATGGGAAATATTTTAACTGATGCGGATAAGAATGTTTTAGAACAGTTACCAAAACCATCTTCTCTTACGAGAACCCTCACTCGACATAAACAAGGTGCTTATATTCCAAATCCAACAGCGGTCGAATTTAATATACCAGAACATTACATGGATGTAATTTTTACATGATACAGGGGCCGATGATCCTGATAGAATTCTGGCAATAGGGAATGAAGAGTTGGTTAAAGAATTAAAAAAAGACATTATTTTTGCAGATGGAACTTTTGTTAAAGCACCAAACGTTTTCTATCAACTATATATATGGCACGCTAAGGTTGCAAATTCATGTCCACCCTGCATTTATTTCCTTTTACAAGAGAAGAATATTGAAACATACAGCCGAATGTTTACTATTTTATGTGAATTGGTACCGGATTTATCACCAGACCAGATTCTTGTAGATTTCGAAAAAGCTTGTATGTCTACTGCTTGAGTTGCTTTCCCACAGGCAGAAGTAAAAGGTTGTTATTTTCACCTTACCCAAAGCGTAATTAGGAAAATTAACAGTGTTGGCTTAAAACAAGTATACGAATCTGATGTTAATCTAAAGCTGAAACTTAAATCTCTACCTGCTCTTTCCTTTGTTCCAATAGCAGATATAAGAATTATATTTAACCAACTAGCTGCGATATTTCCGGATGAAGATGGATATAATGAGGTTCTCACTTATTTTTTCAACGTACATAGAAGGTGCTGCAGGAAGATTGCCACAATTTTTCATTAGAATTTGGCCCTACTTTAGGCTTTCGTAAATGTTTAGGGGTACAACTTGGTATTGAGGAAATTGCGTTAAATCATCATATTTTGCACACCTGTCCTGTATCGGTACTTATGCGAAACACCTTATATATTTATTTATTCATTAGGAAAAAAAGCCGCGAGTAGTACCTTTACTGCATGGATATGAAATAATTTTATTCGTTCAGTTAACTGATATTCCCTACTTGTTCATTCTGTATGACTGTAGAATTTAAATATTGTCTTTCATACTTTTATACTATTTGTTTTTTGGCCTATGTTAGAATGATGCTATAACTACATTGTTATATACCGTAATTAGCTTTGTTTATATTGTAGGTTATGTTTTATCTTGTCTAACGTCCTTTAATATCTTATCTTATCGCGGGAAGATGTTAATTATTATACACTGCTGATCTCATTAAACTTTCCTAGAGCTATTAAGTAAAATTGGAAAGTTGCAATTATCAGTTAAGTGCTTCTAAGACAACAGATTCTCTTGTATATGCCAAACGTACATATTAAATGCGTTTTAACAATCATGTGATTTTTATGTGCAAAGACGATATCATGTTTGTGCAATATTATTTTATGTCATTGAAAATATGACATTCTAATTTTATTGGGCTATAAAATTTTATGTACCTACATGGGCATCACTAACAAAACTCAATAAAACTTTAATTTTACAACCTTCTTTATGGGATTAATTCAATAAAAAACCGAGTTTTCTTGTTAAATTAAAATTAATGAAAGCATTTGAAAACAGAACACGAGGCTAATGACCTGAGTTGTTCAAGCAGAAGGCAACAATGAAACAAAAAAAAAGAATAAAATAGAATCGATCGACTAAATTTAATATTCACAGTTTATTATTATCACTTGTGTGCACTTTATTGAGCTGGCTCCAGACTCGAAAAGTCGCGGAAAACCGTGGACGTGAGTGTAGATGATTTTCACTTCTACTCACGGATTCCATGATTGTTCTGGTCTTGTTTCCTGATCAGAGTCAGATTTTGTTGCTCCGGTTCACTCTAATAGATGAGAGTGGCAGATTACTTTGTAATCTCGGAAAAAATATAATTTTAGATGTTGAGTTGGACGCAAGGTAGATCTATGATATTGAGCCTCTTTAAATCCAGAAAAGTCCAACTTTTAAATCTACCAAATAAATATGAAATAAAAAGACAACTTTAAATTAGAACTTGTTTATTTGTTTTAAAATTCGGAATACTTTGTCTTTCCCCTTACTCCGACCCAATGACCATTTGTAATCCGTGTACTAATAAATGCCCCGAATAATGTATTTCATATCAAAAATAAATAATTTATCCTACTTACATATTTACCTAAAGGCTTGTCATAACACCAAAATTATTAACAAAATATACAATGTCCTAGCCGTGTACAGAATGTTTAGTTTCAATGAACATTAGTAAAATTATCTGTTAGTACCTCACGTTTATTAGCGTCGGATTATAAGGCGAAAGACGTGTCTAGCGCCACCAAAAGTAAAAGTTAACAGCATCTAGTCATAAAAATCCTTTAGTTTCTGTATAAACAGATTAAAATATCCCGATTCTCATAAACTAAAATATTACTATCAATAACATCAATTTAATAAAGTAACATCATCTTAAGGTAAAATTTATAATGTAATATGAAGGGTACAGAGGAACAAAGATGAATGTCCAAAAATTCCAATTTTAAGCTAATGGCGGGAATATTATGCTAAAATGCTGTAAGAATCCGATAAAATATTGAAACAAAAAAGATGAGAGTAGCAAGCCACAGCGAATCTAAATTTTAGCGCACAGGGGAAAAAAGATGAACGTCCTGGCGAACTGGGGAAACAAAGATGAATGTCCGTAAATATGGCAATCGCGCATTGTTTTGTTTTTATCTCGATGCTTTTTCCCATTTTATTACGCGCTATTTTTCTATTTCAGTAGTTCATGAGTCGTTTAATCGACCACCTGGTGTATGCTGTTTTTTTTTCTCATGCCACGTGCAATCAAAAGATTTCGCAATGAGTGATGAAGACATTGAAGTTGATAGTGCAGTTTTTCCTCTAAGGTCTAAGAAACGGAAATCTCATAGACGTATGAAGAACGTTGCTAAGTTATTAAAACTACGAAGCCATGAAACAGGCCCAAGTTGTAATTGTACTAGATTTAAGTGTTTTGAAAATGTCACCGAAAGAGACAGGTTGCAAATAATTAAACAGTTTAATGAACTTAAAGATCATGATGAACAGAATTTGTATCTAAATGGCTTAATTTCACATGCCCTCGTTAAACGACACCGAAGTAGAAAGAATATTGATAAAGATGTTGAATAACTCTTATTTTTACACATAGAAAATGCGTGTTCAACGAGATAATACAGCTATAGAAGTGCCAATATGTTATAAAGCTATGCTTTCTATGTATGGAATATTTGCGAAATGGCTTTAAAATATCCAGCAGCAGTTAACCACTTTTGGACATGTTAAAAAAGATGGGCGAGGTCAACATTCCAATTAAAATAATCGTCTCCCAGATGAAATATCCACTGCTGTTTTTGACCATATTGCTTCGTTTAAAAGCCAAAAATCACATTACAGTCTTCATGACTCCAAACGCGTATATTTACCGGAAGATCTTAACGTGAAAAAGATGTTCAACATGTTTTTGCAACAAAATCCTGAGAAAAAAGTTTCCTACGAGACTTACAGAACTATATTTGTAACTAAATTCAATATAAGTTTTGGTTATCTACAAACGGATACCTGCAGTGCCTGTGATGAGCACAAGGCCAAGAAAATGAGCATCGAAAACGATCCTTCACAAAAGCGCTTTTACATCGTTTAGAAATAGAATATAAACTGCATCTTCTAAAAGCTGAAACGTTTTACAAAAGAAAGAGAGCAACCCATTTAAATTCTCAAAAAGTGTAGAAAAAAATTTGCCAGTGCCCACTATCAGCACTAATGATGTATATTATAAACACCAATTTTCTTTTTATTCCTATGATATCGATGTGCTGTCTAACTCTGCTTCATATTTTTATACTTACACGGAAGGAAGGGCTCAGATGAAGTAGCATCTGTGCTATTTCACTTTATTTTCAATTTCTTGGATGAGTGTGTCCAAAAGTTAGAAAGTTTCTGCGATTCGTCTAAGCGGCCAAAATAAGAATTATACCTTATATTTATATACTGCATTTTGTTGTCCATAAGACAAAACGATTAAGGAAAATCAAGATGACGTTTCCAGTTCGGGGACACAGTTATCTAGAATACGACCGCTACATGGGTCTAATAAACCAAAAGGCAGCAGTAGAACTTCCGGGTGGATGAAATGAGCAAATTTTGAGGGCTAGAAGTAAACCTGGTCCTTTTTGTGTAATTGACTGTGCGAATTCTTTCAGGGGAACTTCGTAAATTCTCAGCAAAATAATCCGCAGAAAAATCTAATTCAAAATGACGTTATTGATATAAAAACATGCAAGTTCAAAACGCCCCATTTGATTCACTTGCCACCCCAAAGGAAATAATAGAAATAGTCAGGAGAACCCCCAGTAAAAGGGCTCCCGGTCCCGATGACATTCATAATAAACTCATTAAAAATCTATCAAAAAAGGCACTTGTGCAGTTAGACTACCTACTAAACGCAGCACTTAAGTTACAGTGGTACGTGGCTGCATTAAAAACCGCCAACATTATACCTATTCTTAAATCTAGGAAAAACAAAATTGAAATAGAAAGTTATCACCCCATCTCTCTCTTAAATGGCTTGTCCAAAATCACTGACATAGTACTATTAAACAGACTACACACATACGAACAAGAGTTCTATCAGAACAGTACGGTTTCAAAGCCGGACACAGTACGGTCGCGCAATTAATACGTATTGCACACCATGCCTGCAAGGGCTTCAATCAATACCAACAAACTGTACTTGTCGCGTTGGATGCTGTCAAGGCATTTGACATCGTCTGGACTGATGGACAGATATACAAAATGTTTATGAATGACTTCCCTGGTTTCATTGTAAAAACAATCCAAATTTATTTACATGACAGACAATTTTACATTAAAATCAATAAAATTAATCCTGACAAAACTGAAAGCCTCATCTTATCCCACAGAAGATCGGAATTTATTATAACTCAACTCAATGTACAAGGACAAGCTATTGACACTAAAGGAAGCATGAAATATCTGGGTTTCATACTGAATAGGAGACTAACGTTCAGAAAACACATCACAGACAGAATTTCAAAAACCGTGGGTGCTTTTAAGGCTCTCTACTTCATGCTACATCGTAGGAGTGGGGTAACAGTACATGATAAACTTCTACTCTATAAACAAGTGCTAAGACCCATCCTAACTTATGAAAGTCCAGTCTTCTGTTCGATGGCCAATACCCACTATAACAAAATTAGACAAAAACTTTACCACTATTGTTGTCTTATCAAGGAGAAGTCACTTAAATTCACTATAAAAAGAGACTATATTTTAAGTACTCAGCCTCTACATCGGTCATGGCTCCTCCGGGAGTCATTGCAGAGCGGAATACTTCCTGGTGCTACGAGAAGATATACTCATGCGCATATATATCGCTTAAATTGTAATTTAAAATTTACAATATAGATTTTTTTAACTAACATATTAATAAAGTAACAATAAATTATTAGAAAACTAGATACTTACCATTTTCTTCTTATGCAACAGGTCTTCCCACATTGGGTCCATTAAATGTGGGATTGAATAACGAAGTTTGTGAATCAACATCAATTAAATATTTATAGATTATTGTGGACAGGCATATGAAATGGGACTTTCATTTAAAACAACTCATAAAAAAGTTAAGAGGGTTTTTACCAAAATTTAGATATCTATGTGACTTTCTAAACATACACTGCTTGTTGAGGTCTCTTTATTTTTCTTTAGTACAATCCTTATTAGTATACGGCATCATTAGTTGGGGAGGTTTGTATGATAACACATTTAAAGATATTCATGTAATACAGAAATGGATTCGAAGAATAATTTACAAAAAATAAATATTTTATACCCTAGTAATGCAATTTACGAAGATTCTAATATATGTGATATAAGACAGCTATACTTTTTACAAATTTTATTATTTTTGAAAAATCTAAAATTACGTTAAAACCTCAGTCCTATAATACACGTCGACCTGAAGCTAATTTATTTCCGCGATTAGAAAAAGTATTGGCCAAAGATGTAGTCATTAACTGGCTACTAGAATCTTTATTTTGGTACCTCAAGAAATAGAGGACATTCCGTTGTACAGTAGATACAGAAATAGACTAAAAATCTGCCTTAAAAAAAAACGAAAATCTTTTTTCCTATTTCGACTATACACGATAATAATTCATTGAAGACTTGTATGATTATGTAAAAAAAATAAGGTTTTTATTTCTATATTTCTATTTATATTTTTATTATTTGTACACTAATTTATATATCTATTTTATATTTTATAATTTTCTTTCTTGGGTTTTATAGGGATATTTACACAGACCCGTTTAATGTTTTATGTACCTATCTTTAATAATATGTTATGTATATGTACTTTATCAGGTACAAGTTATTTTAAACTGCTTCTGTGATTGCTCCCTATTGTTTATTCGCTTTTTTAATTGTATTTATATTAATATACCATTATCTGAACACACATTATTATTATTATTAATATTATTATTATTATTATAATTTTCTTATTACTAATAATTAGAAAATATAGTAAGTTAAACTTTAGTTTTTTATTTTAATACTGAAAAAAATCATAGCCGCCTGAGTGTTAAATAAGAAGTGAGCTGATAATAATAACTGATCAAAATAAATTTAGCTTAAATATGAAATATTTTCCGATTTATTGTTAATTAGTCATATTCCTACTAAAACGATAATCAAACACAAATAGCATAGTTATTCTCAATATTAGTAGTTAATCAAAAATCAACTGAAAAAATTGTCAAGTGTCCACACAGAATGTACCTAATGACATACTACCAAATTCAAATGAACATTTTTTTACTTTCGCGATGAAACTAATCAAATGTCCCAATTAAAACATATCGGATAACTGTAAACAATTCTGATTATTTTTCGAAAGGTTGATAAATTCAAAAATTATTTTGGTAGCAGTTATTTATTATTCAGTGGCGTTCACAAAACGGTCTTTGACAAGTTACTTTATAACGAGCCATAAAAAATTCATAATTGGAGTTAGCTGTGAAGTTTAAATATTTTGGGTTGATACTTTAACAACTTCCACAGAATGATATTGTAACTTCAAAACTTGAAACTGAATGTTTGTATCAAATTTTTCAAAAGTGGTATTAGGCAAGAAGAAAAAATTATCGAAGGTTACTTTCGTACATGGGTGTGAGCGGCATATAAACGTACAGGTAAAAATACTGAATCCGTTTGGCATGTTATTAATGCAAATCCAAAAACATTGAGTTTAGTAGTGACCCAACAATCAAACTTGGCTTATGTCACACACATCTAAATATTTAATTGATCTAGATTACTATAGTTGAATATACAGTAAGGTGTACATATATTAGTTCAAGGAATTTTACTTACATGAATGTTTATTGTTATTTATGTCAAATTGTGCTTTGCTTTATTTTCATCTTATGAAATAAAAAAAATCTGTTGTTTGAATTTTGAATGATAATTATCATTATTATCAGAGTATTTGAAGTGTTGAGAGCGCCAATAGAACCCAACCTGAGATAAGAGCCCAAAGGTAAGTGGAAAACTTACCATAAATATTAAATTAAAACAATTTTGTTAAATCTATACAAAAACGACTGAGCATAGTTTTATAAAGGGAAGTTTTGGTTTTCTTTTCAATAAAATAAAAAACAAAATAATAAAAAATAAATATAAAATAAACAAACCAAAACATTGCTTTGAAAGTATATATAGGAAGAACGAAGATTGGTTATATAAAAATACATTTGGACAATGTACTAAGGTACAATTAGTAATGATTCTGGTTCATTCGCTATTTTAAAAAGTCATCCTAAACCTGAACAAAATAATCGAAACACTGTTTCACCCAATACTATGTACTATGCAAAATAACGTGTTTTCTTGACAAGAAAAAAGAAAACTGTGATGATAAATATTTAAATATTTTAAAAGTATCAGATTGGTGTGAAGTTGACTATTATTTCCAAATATTCATTTTCTAAAATCTTTCATTGAAAGAACAAAAAATTATCGGTTAGTCATTTTTTTCCAAACAATTCTATAGATAAAAAAAATTAAACAAACTAACCAATATTTAAATAATAATTACACATTACGACGCC